GTGGAAACTGGTGACATAAATGGTGTCTGACTTCCCAGCTTCCACTCATGCTTGTCATTGAATGACCCCAGCAGCAAGCCAGAGAGCAAGTGAGTTTGATGTAGTCCATAAATTTCAGGTTCCTGGGGCACAGAGCAGGTAGAATGGAGACAGGGAAGGGAGGGGGGAAATATCTAGCACAGTTATCAAAGATCCCAGTAGAAAAATTCATTTTTCAACTTCCCAGATTTTCATTTTATTCAGTCTTTTACTCAGTGAACATTTATTGAATACCTAACACTGAGATACAGGCAGTGAATCAGGAAAAAAAGACAGTATATGTGTTCAGGGATTCTATGGTTTAGTGAGGGAGTTAGAATACAAAAAGCAAAATTATACAAGGAAATAAACCTTTTTTTAAAAAGTAAGCCTTTTTAAAAAAGGTTTTATTCATTTATTTGAGAGAGAGAAAGAGAGAGCGCGAGAGAACGGCAGAGGGAGAGGGAGAAGCAGACTCCCCGCTGAGCAGGGAGCCCGATACAGGGCTCGATCCCAGGACCCCAGGATCATGACCTGAGCCGAAGGCAGCCGTTTAACCGACTGAGCCACCCAGGCGCCCCCAAAATAAGCCTTTTTATAAAAGTAGGTACGACGTGCTCAGCAGTACTTTGGAAGAGTGGTTGGGATATCAGGAAAGGCTTTCTGGAGGATATGCCTCTGATGGACCTGGGAGGTAAAAGTGAGACTTATCCATATGACGCATGTGGAGAAGTATATTCCAGATGGTTGAAGAACATATGCAGGTACTCAGAAACCTTAAGTAGTGTGGAGTTTTTCAGGAACATTGTGACAGAGACAATTCTCCTCTTCCTTACTAATAGAATTCCTTTGTTGTTGTTGTGGGGCACTTTGTGCTGGAAACACATGCATACGCATACACATGTACATGCACAGCTGAGTGGGTCCTTGATGTAGGCCAAGACAGTTAACAGGAGCTAGGCTCTGAAAAATCAATGAGATAAGTCATGCATTCAACAGTAACAGGAAATACAGACTTAATCACAAGAGAACTCTAGGTGTCAAATACACAATACAAGAAAAATGTGTATAAAGTATTTAAAATCGTAAAGGGTGCATTTAAAATTGTAGTTATACAGTGAGGGATTTGAGCAGATAAGTTTGAAAAAGAACATTTAATTAGAACTCTAAAAAATGAAAATTAAATAACTGTTGAAATAAAAACTCAGTGAACAGGTTGAATAGCAGATTAGACACAGTTGAAAAAAGAATTGGTGAACTCAGAACTCAGAACCATGTACACATAATCCTAAGAAGGTAAAAAATCCTGAAGAGAGTAAAGGAGGTATGAAGCATGGAGTAATGGCTAATTAGAGTGCTAGAAGAAGAGAGAAGAGAGAATTATTAAACCAATACAGCAGTATTTACAAAAGAATTAAGAAGAGTAATCCATCATCCAAGGAGCAGAATATATTTTTTTTATCATGGAAAAATACACTTATCATTAATTTCACCATTTTAACCATTTTCAAGTGTACAATTCAGTGACGATGGATATACTCACAATGTTGTATTAATGTATTAAAAGATTTTAGTAATGCTCTGAAAAGGTCATTCTAAGCTTTGTATAAGATTTACAAAGAATAATGTAATAGTTGTTTACAGTCATTTAAAATTCTCAACAAAGTGAACAAAATTAATGTTAAATGTATTCAAGTTTACTCTCACAAAATACATTTTAATAAAGAGAAATTAATTACAATAAAAGATGTGCAAGCATCTTTAAAATCATTATTTATCCTAGTATATTGAGTTGAGAATTGAAATTGAGATTTCAAGTTGTCATTATTTTACTTGTCTATAATTTTAAGAATAAACCAAAATTAAAATGGTGGTACTTATATAAGCACTGATTTTGGGAGATTGACATCTTTCTGAATCTTTTTGTACTTTGCTAATTAAAATCTGTATGCAATTTAAACTATCAGGCTAATTTTTTACAACTGATAATCACATTGATAGCATTACAAATCCATTCTTTATTGGGCTTCTACAGTGGTTTATAATCTGAGAAGAAAGACTTTAAAGAATGAAGTTGTTGATTTTCCATTGTCCGATAGGGCCATGGGCCCAATTTCCTGCTTCAAGGACTATTCTTAAACCAGCAAAGATGGGTTTTATTATCACAGGGACCGTAATTGTTCCCCTGATGACAGCTTTTTACAGAGGTTATTCAGCTAGAGAGAATTCACTTTTGGTCTTGCCAAACTCATTGCTCCCTTTTCCAGAAAGGAAGAGCAGCTAGTGAATATCACTTAAGATAGTCTTCTATACCTAAACATATACAATCATGGCATTATTCTTTGTCTCTTGTCCAGAGTCAAGAAACTGAATATCTTATTGGTCTTATATTCTCTTTCATTACTGCTGACACTCCTTTGGACACTGTAAATTATTTGGCAGGTAGCTACTAAATAAAAGTATGAATGAAAGAACTTAGCTGACAGAAAGCAAAAACATAAGAGTTTTGAAGGGAGGTTTGGTGTTTTTATTAAATGCAATGTAAATATGTTTAAACAGTTTATTTTTCCTGCCTAAAAATGTCATATAATTTGTACTCTTAGGGTCAATGAATAGAATTATGTATATTAACATTCATTTCTGGCTTAATTTAATTTATATTCATTGTATTAATGTGCGATGAACATGAGAGAGAGCATGTTATCATTCTCAAGTAGCTTTCAAGCATAAGAGGTAGACGTGCATAAAGATGCACATCTTTGTGCATCTTTATGCACAAAGGTTATAATGTTATAATGAATATTATATTATAATACCATAACATTCAATAGAGGTGATTAAAAAGGCATAATTTTAATTGAGATAAAGAGATATTACATAAAATTTAAAGATGGACTTGATAAGTATGTTTTTCATACACACAGAAGTGGATGTAAGGTGTGTTAGGGTGAGGAGAGAATTAATCAAAGGCAAAGGTGTACAAAGTTTGATGTGTGTTAATATCACACAGAGAATAACACACATGAGACAAACTAGGTTAGAAATGAAGATGAGTCAAGGATAAGTTCACTGAGAAAAGAATATGTGTTCCATTTGGGATATTAAGTAATTAAGTGTCCTTAGAGCATAAGTAATTGGAAGAATATGGTGGGAGCTGTCACTAAAATCAACTTTATGTGAGATGTCGAGGAGCTTGGGCTTTACTTGACAAGTAATGGAGAATCACTGAAGGTTTTTAAACAAGAGAACAACCTGGTAAGGCCTACATTATAACTAGATTACTGTGGAGCAGTATGTAAATGAATTTGTTGGGTTTCGTACCATAGTGAGTTCAATACCCACTAAGGGGAAAAAATGAAATTGGGCTCTTATCTCACAGCTTAAAAAAAATTCTAGGTAGATTACGGGCATTCATCAAAAAGCCAAACCAAAAAAACAAAAACAAAACAAAACAAAACAAAAAAACAAGCTAAAAACATTTAGTAGATAGATAACATATCTGCACCCCAAGGTAGGATTTCTTAAACAAGACATTTAAAATCTCCAATCAAGGGGCACCTGGATGATTCAGTCAGTTAAGTGTCTGATTCTTGATTTCAGCTCAGGTCATGATCTTAAGATCATGGGATCACCCTGCATTGGGCTCCATGCTTAGCTGTGCAGGGAGTCTGCTTGAGATTCTTTCCCTCTTCCCTTCCCCCTGCTCACGCTCTTTCTCTCTCAAATAAATAAGTCTTTTAAAAAATTAAAAAAATAGAAAAATAAAATCTCCAATCAAAAAGAAAATATTGATAAATGCATTCGTATAAAAACCTACCAGATTTTCAATAATTAAAAATTTGACAGCACCCTGTATTAGTCAACTCAGTAGTGACTTACACAAGCATTTAGTTTTCACAGTTCTTAAAGGCTGGAAAGTGCATAAATAAAGGTGCAGGCTGATTCATTTCCCCAGTGAGGACCCTCATTCTGGCTTGCATATTGCTGCCTTCTTGCCATGTCCTTACAGGTTAGAGGGAGAGAGGAAGCAAGTTCCTGGTGTCTTTCTTATAAGGGCACTAATCCCCATCATAAGGGTCCCACCTTCATGATATCATCTGAATCCAATTACCTCCATTTCCATTTCCAAATGTTATTACACTGGGGGTTAGGGCTTCCACATATGATTTTTTTGAGGGATGAATTTAGTCCATAGCACATCCTATTTCCCCCCCTCACTCTGCCCCTCTGCTTGCTCCTAGAATTATCTCCAGATAACCTAACTCTCCCCAAACTTTTGTCTCAGACTCTTTTCAATAGAAACCCAGACTAAGGAGTTGGCATCAGAATGCAGACTCTGAGGATGGGATCGAGGAACTCACTGGCCAATAGGTAAGAAGACTGTGGCTAGTGGTAAGTGAAGCCTGTGAATCAGAAAGAGGCAAGGTCTGTTCCAGGAACTGGCAGGAGTTGTGGCTACAGTGCATGAAACGTGGCTGAGATCAAGAACTGAGGCTGAAGGTGAGATTATGCTGGTCCCCATAGAATATGTTGAACAGTTTGGTCTTTCTCCTCCTAAAGCAAATGGGAAAGCATTGACGTATTTTAAGCTGTGGAGCAATGATGTTATATTTTCATTGAACATATTAGCATGAGGAACAGATTAGAAAGGGGTAAATGGTGATAAAAGCAAGTGTCAGACGAGGCTATTGCATTAGTCCAGGTGAGAACAGGTGAGAGTATGGACTAGGTTGAAAGCAAAGACCATGATAACTTGCTTGGAAGTTTCAAAAGAACATTTCTGCATTTAATGGAAGATTTGGCCAGTTGAGTATAGTGGTTCCTCTGAATACTCCTTTGAACGACTGTCTGATTATTTTACCCAAAGGAGTAATTCTGGGATCTAATCTCCAGTTGCAGCAGCTGTCTAGGGAAAGCCCTTACCTTGACAGGAACAGAAGCTCAAGAAAAATAACTCATACTTCTGAAGCTTAGAACTGGCAGAATGCTACTTCTTCCCATATTCCACTGGACAAAGTAAGTTGCATGGTGAAGACCAATGCAGGAAATTGGAGAAGTGTACTCTGCCTCTATGAGGACAGCACAGGGTTGGCGATGAGTACTCCTACTTTAGAAAAGGGAAGAATTGTGGCTAATAGTTCAACCAGTTGCAAAAGCCAAACTAAATCATATTCTGCCCAACAAAACCTGGAAGCCTTTTGGTAATTCCTTTCCCCTCAATATTTCCCCTACTACTTAGAATTAATTCCTTTCTGTGTACCTTGCTTTTAAAGCGATGGCCAATAATTATTTCATAAGGAAGTCTATGTAATTTTGTAAGGTTTTTCTCAAGTGAAAAGTTTACATTTGGAAAACCAAATATATTTTGATTCATAAGAGCCAGGCTTTGTAGAAAGCAGAAAGGATTTTCTGTGATTTTAAAAAGCCCAGTTTTAAAAATTAAGAGCCAAGCCCAGAGTACTGAACATAGTTTTACACTACCAAAGGAAAAATATCTGATATTGTACAATACTTACTGTTTTACCATGAATGAAAGAAAAGTTTAGTCAGTAGGTTAGAAGGGATGGTTCTGAAGGGACCTAATTGGCATCAGTGCTGGTAGGTTAAGAAACCGGGGTAGGAAATTGATAGATTTGGGGGATTCACAGATTGGGGATTTTTGTGCCTGGCCTTCCAGATTGCAAGAAGGAAAAGATAATATCTGTTTAAATTATAAATCACTGAGGGATGGTGTTTTGGCAAATGGGCCTGAAGTTAGTCTTATAGAATTTGATATACCCCAAGGTGGTGTAGTCAAAGTAGCCAAGAGTCCCCAAGCCTTGTAAAGGGAAGAAGTCTTTAGAAGACACCTTGAGTCAGAATGTGTGACAAGTCAGGATGGGACTACTGATACCTGGACAGGAGCCACTTCTAAGCACCTAAAGTCATCAGAGATGTAGTAAGTCAGGGCACAAGATAGTAATGATTAAAGATGGCTCAGGGGTTAGGTGTTCACCTCTCCATCCAGATAAATGCAAGTCACATGCCCTTTCTGACCACCTCTTTACCTCTTGCTCCCTGGGAGCTAAACTTATATAAAAAAGTAAAGGAGAAGGAGGCGTGAAGAAATCTTGAATACATTTTTTTTTAATGCTTGTGTCATATGGGGCGAGCTTATAAAACAGGGGTGATGGGAGCACTTTCTTTGCAGAACGACTGGTGTTGTCAGAGGAATGTGGGCTTTGGGGCTCTGTAGCCATGTGGCCGTGAATAAAATTGGGTATCTACCAACAGAATAAATTTTCAATTGGAAAGTGGCTGTTACCTTGAATTGGGAAAAATCAGAACCTCTGCCTTCAGTGGAAATAGGGGTCAAAATTGAGGTCACCCAGAAGTTGAACTGAAATCATAAAAAAGTGGAAAATTTACATTTCTGCACAAACAGGTTTTTAGTCTGAAATATAAACACACATATCATTTTGAAATAGGAGTTTCCAAGATGTTTAGTTCTTAAATGTCTGGTCAGAGTCTCTTAAGATACAGGCCTGTTCTGTTTTATAATGTTGTAGAATTATTGTTTTACCATGTAGTTGTTTTGATTTGCAAGGTTAGAGATTAATGGAGCAAAATACAATCAAACGTAATGAGCAGAATCAAATTCTTTTCCCATGGTTTCAGCCAACGATCCAAGAGTTCTTGACTGCAAATTTGAACACATTGACTTGACTATCAGAGTCACAGCTCACCAGGGCCTTGTACACAATCTAATACCATTCAGCAGAATGAAGATTTGTTCACTCAAATAGATTTATTTTGCTATTTTTTGTTGCCAGCGCAAGGTGAAATGCAAACTTTGAAATACGCCTGAAAAGCTGGTCAGGATCAGCAGCCAGACCAGATAATTAGGACAAAACTATAATACTCAGCACCATATTCTTAGAATTTGTAGAGTACAAATTATATGCAGCTGTGAATAACTCCTAATATTTAAGCAATGGGTAAAAATTTTACTTTTTGACCTGAACTGTTTGGTTTGGCTCTCTCTATACGCATTATGGCCAACTTTCCATTTTGCTTTGTACTTTACAGGCATGGGTAAAATCTGGATGGCTAAGAAACTTGAGCAATTTTGTTCTTAATTTGGTAAAATAAAGCAAAACTATTTAGCAAGTCATTTATTATTTGTTGAGATATACTGTCTCTTAAAATGGTTTAAATAAAGTATTAATTTTATGTGTATTTGGAAATTCAGATTTAGAAATAATTTGTCTAGTCCAAGGAAAGAAGGAATGTTAACAGTGGAGTATAGCCAGATTTTTCTTGGTCATTCTAAACAGACTAATTAAAAGAATAGGTTTCATATTTTCTTTGGGAGAACTAGCTGGTACACATTCCCAGAGAGCCGATAGTTTAACAGAAAAATTTCTGAAAGAAAGAATACAAAAGAGATGCAAAATACATAAGAAAAATTTAAGAGAGAGACCAAACTGGTATGAGTCTGGAAAAGGGAGTTAAAGATTTTTGGTAAGTGGAAAAAGGGCAATTGAATGTTACAGGGTTCTGATTCCTGGGACATGGACCATGAAAGGTGGATTCTAAAAGAAAAATTACAAAGTGAAGGAAAGGACTAAATCAATACCAGCATACACTCAAAAACTATGTCATTAGCTATAAAAACTTCTTCCAGAGTAATACAGGTTTTTTTGTTTGTTTGTTTTTGGAAGTGATCTCTTCACAACTAGAAAGAAACATCAAGGCAAAGGAATCAAATTGAGTTTCTCTCTTAAATTTTGAACCTGGTCATTGCCTTCAGTGTTGGAGGATGTCTACAGCTGTAAATAATTTACACTCCAAAAGTTATAAGAATGAGACTGAGTGAAATACTAGTAATACTGGAGAGGAGCCAGGGAGAAAGGGAAGGTTAATTTGATATGTCCTATAGTATCCAAGAAGTTAGTTCACTTCATATGTGGTAAAGAGCAGATAAAATGTACCCAAAATAAGTTTTCAAAATTAATCTTCTGTATTCCAATTTTTTCCATACTGTTTTTATATAAATGTATCTATTGGAACTTGTAAAAAATTAAGTGACTAGAAACTTTTGCTACATACATCCTAATATAAATTTAATAATAAATTCATATAAAAGTATGATTACTTTTCAGCAGCTTTGCTTGAAATAATTTTATTTCTTAAATTTGGATATAATTGTCACTAATAAAACTATATTTTTCTAGTGTATAAAGATGTTAAGCATATTATATATTGGCTATCATTAAGGGTGAAGATTTTGAGAGATGTAAAAACTTTTTCTCACTTTAAAGATAGTTGTCAGAAATATAAACATCTTTGTTGTTGACTGGTATTAAGATATTTGAGTGGAAAACTAAGATGACATGACTGATTTTCACATTAGCACCGAGTTTTGACTAAGTATTATCTTCTCCAAACACCCATTCCCTTCTTTGAACAATAAAAACAGTAATAATACCACAGTTATTCTAGTCAAATACCATATCTATCAATTCAGGCATGAATTTTGCCCATGCCTGGAATTTTGCTTGTGTTTAAGAGAAAAAACATGTTTGCAAAAATGAGCACCTTGTCTTTAAGTGGTACTTATTATTTGTTAAATGGCCAAATAGAAGTGATCATAACATTATTAGTTTGAAAATCTGATAAAGGGACCATAAAAATACAATACAATTTAAAATTAGGCAGGTGATTTGCTGGCATCCTCCAAAAGGCAACATTGAAGTTATTTTTACTGATGCTTACATTGTGCCATTTTTTATATGTAATTCCTTTGAATGGGAAGTTCTTGCCATTATTCCTAGGCTCTGTCATTCAACAAAGTTAAGATAAATACATATATTTATCTTACATATACATATAAACTGTATTTATAAAGTATATAGTTTTATATATCCCTTTTATGTGGTTATATTTATAATTTATATATATTATACAAATGTATATATACTTGTATAAAATGCAGAATGAATTCTCACTGATACTTTCATTAACAGCTAGAACTAGGAGTTTTTACTAACTTCTTCCGTCTTCCATCCATGTCTCTTTTCTCCTGTGTTGCAAACCCTAGTTCTTGAAGACCCCAGGAATTTTAACAGGAGCAGATCACAGCTCACATACTTTCTCACTTCTTTTATCCACAATATACACACAACAGTCTCAGAATAACAATACCAACACCTCCACCAAGAAGATGATTACTGAAAATAGTTTAAATTTGTTTGCAGGTTTTTTTTTTTTTTGGTCAAATTATCATGATTTAAATAACTTGAGATATTTAATCACTGCATGGTTATGCCACTAACTGGATATATGTGTAAGTTCATTTGTTTCTTTATTTTGAAGTTTAGAGATTGATTGCTTTTCAATTTAATTCTGCATGATCCCAAAGTTGAATATACTAAGCAAGATACACTGAAAGAAATTTCACTTCTGGCTTATTCTCTCTACCCAATAACCCCAATTGTTGTCACTTAATTTTATAGTTTATCCATTTACTTTTAATATGTCATATATGAAATATATGTATGTGATATATTAAACATATGTGTATCTTCATGTCTTTCCTAGGTACATCGTAGCATATTGTATTTTTAAGTGTATTGACGCACAATGTTACGTTAGTTTCGGGTCTTCAAGTCTGTATGTTATGCTGTGCTCATGGCATGTATAGCTACCGTCTGTCACCACAAGCTATTATAGTACCACTGATGATATTCTCTATGCTATACCTTTCATCCTTTTGTTCTTTTTAATACTATATTCTAGACATCACTTTATGGTCATATAACAGAAATCTCTTCATTCATTTTTATAACTGGACAGTATTTTGTTGTGTTAATACGCTCCTGCTTATTCATTCAAATATTGACAAATATTTGTGCTATTTCCAATCTATGCTTTCTCAGTTCTTCTTGCAATTAATGGTATTGTGTATCAGTCCTTTTGTATGTTCACCAGTTTATCTTTGGTATGTATTTCTACAAGGGGTATTGCTATTGCAT